AGCTCTGTTTTGCGTCTCTGAGCAATGGACGGTGTTTACTTATTGAATGAATCAGCTTTTTGAACGAATCGGTTGAATAAATGATTCAGTGATTCACTCATTAACACAGACAAATGCTTTGTTTCTGGATTAATCAGTCGTTTGAATGAATCGGTTGAATCTCAATGACTCACTCATTAACAGTCACTTGCTGTCACCTACTGGCGGTTTTAATTTCACATTTCGACTTTTTTATGTTTTAATAGAATTTCAAATAACAGTATTCAGCGTTTTATGTTAAAAACAAAACATTATTTATTCATCTGTGACTGCAGGTTAAATGCATCCATGTCCCCTCTGAAATAGGCCTACATTAAACTGTGTAAATACATCTAAATTCTATTTATATATATATATATATACACAAACACACACACAATAACAGCATCTTAAATCCTGTCTGAATAAATGTGCAATGGCAACAGCAACTTTTATATCGGGGTGGACAGCGGAGCATTTGATTCAACAAATGTATAGAACACAAAACTGAAGGGAGCAGCTCCAGTGGAGAAGAACAACATTGACAGTATGTCACATCTCCACCACTGTAAGTTAGATGTGTTTGTGCAGTGCAGAGCAGCTCTCTCACATTGTGAGATGTGACAGACAACTAGTTGTCCAGTCCGGTTCCGTACAAGTAGTGCAGGTTTTTTTTTGAGAATGCAGTCATGAAAATTTATGGGTGTGAGTTTGGTTAGACGTTAGAGAATGCAGTTGTCACTCCCACAATAACTGTACTTTTTGTGAACTTAACCATATTAAGGTCTCAAATACAGGACTTACAACCAGTGGTGTAGTCCTAAAGAAAAAAGTGGTTTACTATTACCCAGTAATATTACCCTATTACCCCCTCCAAAAAAGTTTCATTTATATAGTAATTTATTCATATTAATGCAGTGCACTCTAAAATTGGTTGACAGATAGTAGTCTGCATGACTTCCAGGTTGTTCCAGGTCTGTTGACCACATTACAGTTCTATATATAATTTCAAGTTGCTTTGGAATTGTATTCATTGTGAAAAATGTTT